AAAAAAAAATTTATTTAGTGTTTGTTTATTTTTGAGAGAGACACAGCACAAGCGGGGGAGGGGCAGAGAAAGAGGGAGACACAGAATCCGAAGCAGGCTCCAGATTGTGAGCTGTCAGCACAGAGACTGATGTGGGGCTCAAACTCACGAACTGCCAGATCATGACTTGAGCTGAAGTCAGATGCTTAACCAACTGAGCCACCCAGGCACCCCTATGAAATAGATATTAACTCGTCCATTTGACAGGTAAGGAAACAGGTTTATAGAGAAGGAATTAACTTGTGCAAGATCCCACAGCTGGTAAATACTGAGCGCAGGACTGGAACTCTGGAGTCTGTCCTCCACTGCTATGCGACACAGACTCAAATTCAGAGACCCCTGCCCTGGACTTTATCCAGTCCAAGTTTAAAGATGAGGAAAGTAAGGTCTAGAGAGGTAAAGTGAGTTTCTGGGAAATTATCAGGGACCAGAAACATCAAGTGCTAAGAATATCCATTATTTAGCACCTCTGGCTCTTAATAGTGCCAGGGGGGACCAGTGAGCTGACCCTGGACATGATCTCTCTTTTTATATACCCTCTACAGTCAACTTATCTAGCTGTCGTTTTATATGAGGTCCAGTGCTGGACACGGACAACAGATCAATGCTGGAGGTAGTCCCTACCTGCAAGGTTCTACATTTGAAGAGAACTGGGACACAGAAGCAGCTGCACAATGAGTGGAAGCTGGCCGGTGCCATGAGCAACAATAAGGATGCACCTGGGAGGGGGGTGCCTGGGGGGGCGCCTGGGTGGCTCAGTCGGTTGGGCAACTGACTTCAGCTCAGGTCATGATCTCGAGCATGGTGAGTTCAAGTCCCATTTGTGGCTCTGTGCTGACAGTTTCAGATCCTCTGTCCCCCTCTCTCTCTGCCCCTCCCCCACTGATGCTCTCTCTCAAGAATAAATAAAACATTAAAAAAAATAGAATGCATCTTGGTGCTGTGGAGACAATCTGGTGGTTTCTCAAAATATCACACAAAGAGTTACCATATGACCCAGCAATTCCACTCGTAGGTATAGACCCAAGAGAACTGAGAATATATGTTCGCATAAGAACTTACACATGAACGTTCATGGCAGCATGAGTGATAACAGCCAACAAGCGGAAACACCCCCAAATCCGCCAACCGATAAACAGGATAAATAAATGTGGTCCATCCATATAATGGAACATTATTCATCCATGAAAAGGAAAAATGTACTGATTCATGCTACAACACAGATGGACCATAAAAACATTATGTGAAGTGAAAGATCCCAGACGCGTGGCGCCTAGGTAGCTCAGCTGGTTGAGCGTCCCGACTGTTGATTGTGGCTCAGGTCATGTGCTCATGGTTCAGGGCACCAAGCTCTATATGGCACTTTGTGCTGATAGTGCGGAGCTTGATTGGGATTCTCTCTCTCCCTCTCTCCACCCCTCCCTTACTCATGCATGCGCTCTCTCTCTCAAAATAAATAAATAAACGTTTAAAAGAAATAAAGATGCCAGACACAAAAGGCTACATATTGTAGAGATACATTTATCTTCCATGTTCAGAATAGGCCAACCATAGAGACAGAGAGATCAGTGGTTGCCAGGGCCTGGGCGGAGTGGGTAACAGTGAGTCACCTGTAATGGGTCTGGGCTTTTTTTTCAGGGGTACAGAAAATATTCTGGGATTAGTCAGTGGTGTTGGTTGTATCATCTTGTGAACTGCACACTTCAAAATGGTGAATTTCATGGTATATGAATTATGACTTAAAATTCAAAAACAAAAAAAAAGTAAGAAATTAAAGAATTCATCTTAGGGGTTCAAAGTTGGGAGAAAAATCCACACCAGGTTGGGGGATGGGAGACCAGGGAATGCGTATGAGCCAGGACTAAAGTGGGGAGTCCTAATTCGGGTAAATCCTCTGCAACCACTTCAAAGGTACACTTGACCTTCTTTAACAATGACCCCTTTGGCCAATGGCACTGGGTACCTAATGGCCCAGAAGAAAGGGTCATTGCCGTGATGCTGCCTGCATGGGCCGCCCTGTCCCATTGGAGAGTTCACGCACATCCTGAGGGGTATGTCCTGGGCCCTGCGGTCTCTCAAGATGTGCGTGACCATTGTGGGGTGTTCTGTAAACACTTCTAACCTGAAACATTTGGTACTTCCATACATAAGGCATCTGCTCCAGCAACCTTTCTCAAACCTTATTTTCTGGAGGACAGAAAAACGGTCTCTTATAGCTGAGTGTGCTGCGTGGCAAGAGGGACACCACAGGGGCCTCCTGGAGCAGGAAGGAAGGGACGGCCCACCTCAAATCAACCGAGTGCCCCGGAGGGTAGGAGGTGGCAGAACGACTCTTGGACCCCCATTATAGAAGAGATGCTGACTGATGTCTGGGGGTTCTTATCACACCAGGTAGATGTTTGGTTTTTGGTAAGTAGAGAGAGAGGAACATCTAACTCTACCTGGAAGAGTCAGGAAGACTTCATGGAGCAGAAAACAGCCAGGAAGACATTAAGACGTGGTTGCCAGGAAAACATCAGTAAAGGAATAACAGTGTGGACAAACACAGAGTGGGCAAAATGTCAGATTCAAAAGGAGTCACAAGGAGAGTTGACAAACTGCCTAGGTGTCTAGACCATGAGATGTGTAAGGGAGACGCAGCTAGGGGAGGAGGGTCTAAACTTTATCCCGAGGACAGCAAATTGACACAATTCTACATATGCATGTATGTAAATATATATATGTAATGTATACATATATATGTATATATACACACACATATACATATCTGCATGTACAAATTTTTAAGACACGAATGCTCGGTAACATAGAGGGTCATTTGAGGGGGCAAATGAACTGGGTCTGAGGTCTGGTGAAGCAACGGCTATGGAGATGGAAATAATTCAG